ATATTATCTAGGGTGAAACAGATCACCAGCCCAGGTGGGATGCATGAGACAAGTGCTCGGACCTGGTGCACTGGGAAGATCCAGAGGGATCGGGTGGAGGGGGAGGTGGGAGGGGGGGACCGGGATGGGGAATACATGTAAATCCATGGCTAATTCATTTCAATGTATGACAAAAACCACTGCAATGTTGTAAAGTAATTAGCCTCCAACTAATAAAAATAAATGGAAAAAAAAAAAAAGAATGTGCCTCCAAAAATAAGAATAATGTTTCCTATTGACAGACACATTTAAAGAATGATTTTTAATGACAGACCCTCATCATCTTGGCATTCTCCTCCACTTCCAGAAGTGCGGCTGTGTTTGCCGAGGCCGATAGCAAGCTGACAAATGTGAAATGGGAGGGAGGAGGAATCTTCTGAGTAAGCAAGAGTTTGTTTTAGAATCTTTGGACCTTAGCAGTCACATTTTCCATATCGTTGCTTCAGAAGAGCCTACTTGGTAATAGGGTTAGTTACCAGAAAAACATTTAGCTAAGAAAAATAAAATGAAGATGCTGATCAAGAATAGTAGTAGAGGGAGGACCCCTCCCTCTAGCACCCAGGGGTCCAAAAGGGATTCCAGACTAATTCTTGTTAACACAATGGGGCTTGCACACACTGTACCCATCCCCTCATCCTCAACTCCAAAGTTATTGACTCAGCATCTGGCCTAGAGCCAGAGGTATATTCTGAATTCAGAGCGTGCAACAATGTTCAGTACAATTAGGACATAATGGCTGCAAAGCTGTTCCTGAAAGCCAAGAAAGCCTGAATAATGTGGTTGGGTTATATCATACATGAGGGCTTAATAGAGTTTAAAAACCAATTTGAAAATTCCTTCATTCCATAAAGATAGCATTAAGATGAGGGCAAAATCATGCTAGTTCAAGGGTTGGGGATAAAGTGCATAAGGAATTATGCAGACTCCTTTCCATATTATCCTTCTTAACCAAAATGACCCATTCCCTTTGAAGGTATCTCTAATGCTTACTACTGACCCAGAAAGAAGGAAATTTCATTAAAAAATCTTAAGTCTTATTGTACCCAGCTAGTAATGCCATTTTTCCTTGCTATTTAAAAAGCACACGATTTCATTTCCAAAAACAACTGTTTGCAATTCAAATTCCATCCATCCAGGCAATGTCTCCTATTTGTTGCTAATACTCCACCATTTCCAATTCATCTTGCAAAAGAGGTGAAGTTATCCACATGACCACACAAGACCTGAAAGATGTTTCATTCATTTTTAGCCATTTTGTAGTAAATAGCTTTGGAACACTTGAGATATTAAATCCATCACTTCTTTGGACTTGTGACACTGATACCAGAACATTAGGGACTATCCACTCTTGAGGTCCTGCTCTAGTAACCTTCAGATACATGAGATTCCTCAATTCTCTCAGTCCTATTCTGGTTACTTAGGAGCTGACATTGATAGAAAATCTTAATATTTTGGAGCTGGATTCCAGGGGACTTTGGAGATGCCTGTGCTTGATAAAGAAATTGTTTTACCAAAGACTTTCATAATTTTTTTCTCTATATTTTCTCTTTGAACAATGCTTATTTTTCATAAGAGACCAGCACAGAATTTTCAGAACAGAAAGGGATCTCCAAGGTCAACTCTCTTTTTTTCCAAAAAGTCTCCAAAAGCTTTATACCTTAATCCTCAGAGTATACTAAGTAATGGATACCACATTTTGTTTAAGATTTAAGGATGGAGAGAATGAGGAAAAGTCTCAGCTTCAGATGGCAGACTTCCTTTACGGTAAGAATGAGGTTCTGATCTCTAGATCTAAGATGATACAGATTAACTTCATTTTTGAACTTGGAGAAACAGAGGTGAATTTAGATCTCTCTCTTTTTTTTTTTTCAGTCTATGAACTAAGCTGCTTCAGCTGACTGAATTTCTATTAATTTTTCTTTTTCCTGAATTTCTATTAAATAACAGTATCCTTTCTCTTGGCTGACTGGAAGAACTACATGTTTTAAGAAGTAAAGAATTTTTAAAAATCAAATAATTCAGTCTTATGTCCTTACCCCTGACTAAACTAGAAGCCACTTCCCCATTATTTCATGATTGATATGAAAAAGTACAGGAGCAATGAGAGGAAGGTCATCTGTTTCCAGCAGTAACATTCTGGTTTCTGCTGGACTCCCATTGGCAACAGAAGGAAGCAGCATAGACCACATGCCTGCCCTATTACAATACAAAAAGCTGGCAAGTTTGAAGTCTTTTGAAATGTCAGTTAAGTAGAAAAGATGATGTGGCTTTCCTTCAATATTATTTGGGTAACCTAGCCTTAAAATAGTGAACAAAATCCTTTATCCTTAAGGCAGGACCAAACCAAGATATTAGTGGCTTAGATAGGCTAATAATTTAGTATACCTTCAAATGGATACTTTTCAGATATTCACTCAACAGGTGTTTGAGTAAGGAGTTGGGACACTGCAGGCCTTGAGAGAGAATGGAGATAGGGCTGGTGGGGTCCTTTACTTTGCATATTCTGTTCAGTATAAGAAAGACCCTGCAACTCACCAGACTAGATCACCTTGGATGGCAGTTTGGTGACCATCTGTAGATTCTCAAATATACCCTTCCTTACTCCAAGCTATTTATTAAGGCATTAACTGTAGCATTTAAAACTGCATTTGGTAGCCCCTTGAAAGATTACTGTTTTACATTCTTTTCTCTACATTGCTGATTCCCACTGATGCTTTCATATTCCTTACAGATCCAGCCTCCCCTTTATACCATGTATTCAGTGTCTGTAATGTGCCAGGCACTGTGCCAGGTACTAGAAATATAAATGTGATTCAGATACTTTCCTTGCCCTTACAGAACTCACACCTTGGGTAGGTGAAAGATTTACAAACAAATAACACAATACCACAGTGATGAAGTCTACAGCAGTAAAATGGTTGTTACTAGATATTGGTAAAATGCTTTGAAATACTTGGAGATGGATACTTCCTTAAAATAGAAGATATTTTGAGTTTTACTTCTATCTCTGGAAATCTTATCTTGGGTAAGGATTGGAATAAAAAGAGAGTAACGTTTTCATGCCTCCAGTTCCCTGCCACTGTAACTGAGATGGGGAGGTAGGGATGTGGAATAACATCTAGGTGAAACTTAGCCAAAACTTTCCACTTTGCATGCTCTTCCTCAAATAATTTTTTGTCTCTAGAACTTGCCATGATACTAGAGGAAGGATGATGGAAGCTCACCTAGTCCCTGCTACCTGGGTAACTACACATCCCTGGATCCAGATGGTTTCTCCCTTCAAAATAATTGCAAACAAGATTAAAACTGCAAGCAGGAACTATTCCAGCTGGCTTTTGGCTTCCTCTGATGTACACCCCTTGAATAAAGCAGTGGCAAAATTAGATTTAAAATAAGAAACATAAAAAACCTTACTACTTGTACCAGTTCACCTCAAGGTCCTGCTATGTGTGCAACCCTGAGCCCTGGCATTAGAGTAACTAAAGGCATCAGCCACCTGGAGTTTGCATGTTATGAAATACAAAAACCTTAATAATAAGAAAAAGAAAACTTATTTTGAAGGCGTACCTCCACACTGCCTCTGAGTATTTAAGAGTCTGCTGGAAACAGGCATCTGGAATAAAATAGAAATACAGTCCAATAAATTCCCAAGGTGGAAAATCCTCATTTCTATTTCCTTACCTGCCATCAATCCATCTAAAGAAAACCACATAGCCACATTTTCCTCTGGTAAAGGAGACAAAAAAAATATTGATCCTCCTTTGGCAGGCAGTTACTACTGACCACAGTAAGCATGAAGAAAAAACTCTGGGGAGTCTGCCTATCTAAAACACCAGGCCCACCAGCTTTAATTCTCACACCAGGACCTGTTCTGGTTCCAGGCAGTTCCTTGGCAGAGCAAGACGCAGGTTATTAGGTTAGGACATTTCACATAGAACCATGATTTAGTTCTGCCTTACCCCCAACATTACTATAACCACTCAGTATTTCCAGGGCACATCTCTTTTTCTAAGTGTTTTCAGTTTCAATGTGTATAGCTCCAAATATTGCTAGCATTATAAGCACTTTCATACAGCATTCCTGAGATAATTAGCCACCTCATCTTTTTGCAGTCACAAACTGAAACAGCTCTTTGCTGCTTAACCAAGGCAGTGTGTGGTTAAGGAAACCTACTTATGTTGGGAAATGTGCCAGAGAGTGTGGGGGGCATAACAGATCTTAGAAACAGCTCTTAGCTCCGGGCTATAGGAGCTGAGAATCTTGGGGTTGAGCTGGGTCATACTGTGGATTTCTTTTTTTTTTAAGTGTTCTAAAATACAAAGTACTACATAAAATACTTTCTATGAAGAATAAAGATCAGCCAGGTTTAAAAAAAAGAAAAATAACTCCTTGTTCTTTAACAGGACAACCTTAGAAAGACACTTGCCTATTCATATTAGTAACAATCCAGTAGGGACTTCTGTAACTCTGGACTTATTTAAAAAAAAAAAAAGTATGAGTCATATTTGTCAGGGGTGACTGACAAGGCTAAATATTTATTGAGAATTGTATAGGCTTTGATTTATTCTCTCATGGTTCAGCACCCAGAAGGCTGCGTTTGTCCAGTAAAGGCAGAGAGGAGGTCCAGAAAACCCCAGGACTCACAGTGTTCCCCACAGCACTCATGATTAAACCTTTTGGCCCTCAGTTAAAGGTCAACATGGCTGCTCAAAAACGTTTATTTCAAAAGGCAGTCATCTCAGCCAACTGAGATTACATTGCCACTTTACAGAACTCAATTAAATCCGAAACACAGCATCTGTTAATCAGGGAAGAGGCATGCAGTTGTGATGTTTTCTGCTTCCTCTTAAAAAGCTGCCTCTTCCCACCCGTGTTCACTTCCCAAAGCGCCATCGCGCGCACTCACATACACACACGCTTATAATTTGCCCGCGGAGGTTCACGGATTTATGGCTTCCGGTTTAATTAAATTTCCTGTAATGACAATCGAAATCGGCAGCGTGCGGCACAGCGTGGAGCTCCTGTGACCTCCTCTCCCGCCCGCGTACCGGCTCCGGGCTGGGGACCGCGAGCGCCCACCTGCCGGCGCCAGACCGCTGGGACCCACCAGAGCCTCCGCCGCCCCTGTCGCCGCTTCCGCCCCGCGCCCGGCACTTCCGCCCCAGCCGCGGGCGCCCTCCCGCTCCCGCACTTCCGCCCCGGCCCTCAGCCCTTTGGGCTTGTGTCAGTGGAGGCCAAACCCGAGCCAATCGCCCCTCTGAACGGTGGCCGCGCCTGGGCTGTTAACGCGTGAAAACAGACGCGAAAACCAAGGCCACACTGTTTTTTTTCTTTAAGACCACGGAAAAGTGACCTGGCAGGTTTGGGAACCATTTAATAACGAGATGTGAAAGCCAGCTTTTAGAGGACGTGCAGTGAAGGCCGGTTTAACTCCCCCTCCCCGCATTCATTCATTTATTGTTTACTGCCCTCTTTCTCTGAGTCCCGGCTGAGCTAGGTTATGGGGAACGGGGATGATGAACAAAATGTTTGACTTGCCTACACAGCCCTTTGGGCACCTGTACCCACCCAAACTTTAGGGCTGTGTAGGCAAGTCAAACATTTGGAAACTGAGCTTTACAAGTCATGTGGCTCACTGTTGTGAAAGGGACCCCTGGAAGAATACGAATGTACTCTAGGTAAAGAAGTAACTTTTAGACTGGAACATACAGGGTCAGGTTGGGCAGGGACTGTGCTCTCCAGGCCTAGGGACTGCTGACACTGAGGGAGCAGGAGTGTGGGCAATGTGCAGAAGAGGGACTAGCAAGGCTGAAGCCTTGAGGGATGGGGACAGGGGTCCCGGAGTTGGGGGCGGGTTGGAAACAAGCTGGAAAGGATAGGCCTGAGTACACCCTGTGGGGCTTTTCAGCTTTGTGTTAAGGGCAGCTGGAGGACTTTTTGTTTTACTGTTTTTTACTGTTTTTGTAGGTTGAATTGATTGCTTTTCCATTATGAAAAGATCACTCACCTTTAGGGAGGGCATGTGAAGGGGATGGGGTAGAGGAGAGCAGAGCTGGAACAGGAAAGGCAGGATGTGACAAATAGTCTAGAAGTGAGGTCTGGTGGCCTGAATGTGTTACTATAGTTGTTGTTCAGTCACTAAGTCATGTTGGACTCTTTGTGACCCCATAGACTGAAGCACGCCAGACTATCCTGTCCTTCACCATCTCCCAGAGCTTACTCAAACTCATGTCCATTGAGTTGATGATATCATCAAACCATCTAGTCCTCTGCCACCTTCTTCTCCTCCTGCTTTAATCTTTCCCATCATCAGGGTCTTTTCCAATGAGTTGGCTCTTCCCATCAGGTGGCCAAAGAATTGGAGCTTCAGCATAGTCCTTGAATGAATATTCAGCGTTGATTTCCTTTAGGATTGACTGGTTTGATCTCCTTGCTGTTCAAGGGACTCTCAAGAGTCTTTTCCAGCACCAAAATTCAAAAGCATCAATTTGTTAGGGGAAGCACACTGATTGAATCCGCCCACCCTGGCCAGGCACCATAGTAACCATTTGCATGAGTTGTTTTATGACAGGAGATCCTGATAAGGAATATGGAAACTAATAAGCCACCACCAATCGGAAGAGTTCGGGAAAGGTCAAAAGGAGACACCACGTGTCTGTCCACTTCCCAGAATCCCTCTCGCTAGCATCCGTCTTGGCTGAGAGATGCGTGCACCACCAGGAAAGACTCTGAATTAGAATGATTGGCCAAAGACCACCCGGAAACTAATCCCATCACCATAAAACCCAAGACTGCGAGCCATGAGGCAGAGCAGTTCTGGGTTCCCTTACCTAGTGCTCTCCACCCGGGTGCCCTTTCCAATAAAATCTCTTGCTTTGTCAGCATGTGTGTCTCCTTAGACAATTCATTTCCGAGTGTTAGACAAGCACCCAGTTTTGGGCCCTGGAAGGGGTCCCCCTCCCTGCAACAAATTCTTCTGTGCCAACCTTCTTTATGATCCAACTCTCACATCCATACATGACTACTGGAAAAAAACGTAGCTTTGACTATGTGGACTTTTGTTGGCAAAGTGATGTCTCCGCTTTTTAATATGCTGTCTAGATCTGTCATAGATTTTCTTCCAAGGAGCAAGCATCTTTTAATTTCATGGCTGCAGTCACCATCCATAGTGATTTTGGAACTCAAGAAAATAAAATCTGTCACTGTTTCCATTTTTCCCCCCATATATTTGCCATGAAGTGGTAGGACTGGAGGCAATGATTCTCATTTTTTGAATTGTTGAGTTTTAAGCCAGATTTTTCACTCTCTTCTTTCACCTTCATCAGGAGGTTCTTTAGTTTCTTTTCACTTTCTGTTATTTGGCTGGTATCTGCTTGCGTATCTGAGGTTGTTGATATTTCCCCCGGCAATCTTGATTCCAGGTGGTGCCTCATCCAGCCCAGCGTTTTGTGTCCGACTCTTTGCGTCTCCGTGGACTGAAGCCTGCAAGACTCTTCTGTCCATGGAATTCTCCAGGCAGGAATACTGAAGTGGGTTTTCATTTCCTTCTCCAAGTCTGCAAATAAATTAAATAAGCAGGTTGACAATATACAGTCTTGGCGTACTCCTTTCCCAATTTTCAACCAGACAGACCATTGTTTCATGTGCGGTTCTAACTGTTGCTTCTTGACCTGCATACAGGTTTCACAGGAGGCAGGTAAGGTGGTCTGGTATTCCCATCTCTTTAAGAGTTTTCCACAGTTTGTTGTGGTCCACATAGTCACAGGCTTTAGCATAGTCAATGAAGAAGAAGTAGATGTTTTTCTGGAATTCCTTTGTTTTTTCTATGATCCAACGGATGTTGGCAATTTGATCTCTGGTTCCACTGCCTTCTCTAAATCCAGCTTGTACATCTGCAAGTTTTTGGTTCACATATTTGAAGCCTTGCTTGAAGGATTTTGAGCATTACCTTGCTAGCATGTGAAATGACTACAGTTGTGTGGTAGTTTTAACATTCTTTGGCATTGCTATTCTTTGGGATTGGAATGAAAACTGACTTTTTTCAGTCCTGTGGCCACTGCTGAGTTTTCCAAATTTGCTGTCGTATTGAGTGCACCACTTCCACAGCATCATCTTTTAGGATTTGAAATAACTTAGCTGGAATTCCATCACCTCCACTAACTATAGTAATACTTCCTAAGACCTGCTTGACTTCACATTCCAGGATGTCTGGCTCTAGGTGAGTGATCACACCATGGTAGTTATCTGGGTCATTAAGACCTATTTTGTACAGTTTTTCTGTGTATTCTTGCCACCTCTTCTTAATATCTTCTGCTAGGTCCCTACCGTTTCTGTTCTTTATTGTGCCTATCTTTGCGTGAAATTTTCCCTTGGTATTTCTCAATTTCTTGAAGAGATCTGTAGTATTCTTTCCCCTTCTATTATTTTCTTCTATTTCTTTGCATTGTTTACTTAAGAAGGCTTTCTTATCTCTCCTTGTTATTCTCTGAAACTCTGCATTCAGTTGGGTATATTTTTCCTTTTCTTCTTTGCCTTTCACTTCTCTTCTTTTCTCAGCTATTTGTAAGGCCATTTTGCCTCAGACAACCATTTTGTCTTCTTGTATTTCTTTTCTTTGGTATGGTTTTAATCACTGCCTCCTGTACAGTGTTATGAACCTTCATCCATAGTTCTTCAGGCACTCTTTCAGATCTAACCCCTTGAATCTATTTACCACTTCCACTGAATAATCATAAATGATTTGATATAGGTCATACCTGAATGGCCTAGTGGTTTTCTGCACTTCAGTTTAAATCTGAATTTTGCAATAAGGAGCTCATGATCTGAGCCACAGTCAGTTCCACGTCTTGTTTTTGCTGAGTGTATCAAGCTTCTCCATCTTTGGCTGCAAAGAATATAATCAATCTGATTTTGGTATTGACCATCTGGTGATGTCCATGAATAGAGTCGTCTCTTGTGTTGTTGGAAGAGGGTATTTGTTATGACCAGTGCATTCTCTTGGCAAAACCCTGCTAGCCTTTGCCCTGCTTCATTTTGTATTTCCAAGGCCAAACTTGCCTGTTACTTCAGGTATCTCTTGACTTCCTACTTTTGCATTCCAATCCTCTATGATGAAAAGGACATCTTTTTTTGGTGTTAGTTCTAGAAGCTGTTACCGTAAATAGTGATCAAATGGTGGATAATAATTTTTAAAGCTAACACTTGTTGATTTGTTCACCACAGCTTTACACTTATAACTTGACTGATCCTGAGAACAATCCATTAAGACTACCTATGATTATTTTTGAGTTGATACACTTTGATAAGACCCAGTCTTTCTGAAGAAAATGAAAAAGAAGTCAGTCAACAAAGTATACTTCACCTAACAGTTGCTGATATATTATCTTTAAAGAAGTTATCCTGGGTCTAGTTATAAACACCTTGGTGGAATCTGTGTAACTCACATTTTGTGGTGTAGTAGGAAAACTTCCTATAAATGCAACTCCAAATCAGCTTCCAAATCTCATTTCTTGGAGAATGGAAATATAATTGGATTCGTGAAACCTGATTTCATCTGCTGAATGAGAAGAATGACTCCACCAAAGGCCAACAGTGAAGGCTTTTAGTATTGGTTAAAGGTAAATATCTCCATGGAGCCCAAAATTCACAAATTCTGAAGCAGAATTTAATTACTAAGAATTTCTTGGGTCATTGAGGTGATGGTATGAGACCTCCTCATGATGTTTTTAGTTGAGAGTGGAAGTCCCATGGATGGTTGGGCGTCCCTGTTGACTTGCTGTAATTGATGCCCAGTCACTCCAGGAGGGCTTGGCTGAGTGCCAGGAGCTCAGAGGACCAGTTTACCTCTAGGAGTAGCACTCACAGTGCTGAGCATATGAGTTAAGCTAGAGAAAATGTCTGAAGTCTCACGAGGAAGAATTGTCTCCAAAATAAAAAACATCTGCCAAGGCAAAATTAATAAACATTTATTAATGATTACAAAATGAGGTATTGTGTCATGTTCATTGATTGCTGGATTCAGTGTTCATAACAATTTCTTTATATTTGAAAACAGTTTTTAGATGAGATGCTCTTCCTGAGTGAGTGTTGAGAAATCACAGCATATTTTAGTTACTTTAGCTAAATAATTTCAAAAGTAAAATTATAAAATCTTATAGTGAAATTATGAAGTGTAGGATGTATACAGATTTTAACATGGTTCATGTGATGTGAAAGGAAGAGTCTTAAGAGAATCTGAAGGTCTTAGTGCAGCCATGGGTCTTAAGCAACTCTGTTCACTCAAAACTGTCTTGTCATGGGGATTTTTGGTTTTTTTTTTCCAGTTTTGGCTGTGCTGGGTCTTCATTGTGGTGGGCAAGCGTTGTTGCCTCATGGCATGTGGGATCTTAGTTCCCCAACCAGGGATCAAACCTATATCTTCTGCATTGGAAGGCAGATTTTTAACCGCTGGAACACCAGGGAAGTCCTGTCATAGGCATTTGATCTTGTCATCTGGGTCTGGACTCCAGTTCCAAGCTATGCTCTTGGAATCTGGATAGAAGTGGTGCAAGGATCTCTGTGTTCTGGAATGTCCGGTCAGAACTCACTTGGGTTGAATTGTCTGTTCCGTCTCAAGACCCTGCCAGCTCTGTGATCAGTTCTGAGACAGAAGCCTGCTCTAGAGAAAGCCTGCTGGTATAGCCTGGTCCACAGCTCCTCAACTCCAAGGATGCTTTAGAAAACACATTTCCTGTTCTTCCAGAGATGGCCTGGAGCCAGGCTTCCTTTTAAGGCCTCCTAAGGGCTGGATGTGTGGTGAAGAGTGAAGCATCTTCCCTCCATATGCCAGGCTTTGCCTCTGGGAGAGAAGGAGCAAAGAAATGGCTTTTAATGTCAGTGCCTTCCCTGGAGAACACCTTAGAAAAATAACCTAAGTCCTGACAGTTAGTGACTATCATGCCAACTCTATTTTACAGTAACCCGGCTCTGTGCTGTCACTGAAGAAAGATGTAGTTTGAACTTTGACTAGGAGAGACAGCCCTAATAACTGCCCCAACTAGCGATGTGATCATGATGGTAGAGGTGTTTAGAAACCTGGTCTTTTTCTGGCTATTATAGTGAGCTGATTTGTTTATCTCTTGAGTGTTTCATCCCCAGTACTGCAAACTCTGCAGGAATCATCTGTAGGGACCAGATATTGTGTTATCTTTAAGGTCATTGAAAAGAAGAGTGGCAACCTCCCAAAGACGAGCTTCTGAATCTGGATGTGTTGGGTCAGCTGGGTCACTGTTGACTCCCCCAGGCCAACCATTACAGGAAAGAGAATTATAAGTCTGTCTTACCAGGGGAGAATGGATGTCAGGTACCTGATTTCTATATTCCCCTTGACATTTAAAAAATTCTGCTCTCATGCCAGAGATTCAGAGGAGAGTGAAGAAAATTTCAAAAGGAGAAAAATGTTTATTTGTTTTAAGCCTTGCTCAGTAATCCACTTATGCTATTTACATTAGTTAAAGAACCTTTCCATGTAAACACCATTAATTATGTAGTATAAGAGCCAAATAAAAATGCTAAAAAATAAAAGTAATTGTAGAATAAATTAGTGTAGCTTGAGTGCACATATATTATCAGAGACTACAGTCTTTTACATTTTATCAAGGGAGGTGGATTTGTGATTTTCTATTGTTTGAGCTACTAAGATGGAACCAAGAGAAATGACATTTTGCAGATGGATACCAAAGCTGTTAAAGTTTAAACCCACACCGGCAATGAAACTATGGTTTTCACAGGAACCTGGACCCACCCTGCCTCTCTATATCTGTCTTGAAAAGACTATGGGAGGAGATGTGGATTGAGTGTCCTATGGATTTCCCCCCAAGGTTTGCTGGAGCAGGACCTGACTGTCTACCCCCAATTGGTACACTCCAGTACCTCTTGAATGTAGTAACAGAAGACGGCCTATGTCTGGGCAAAAGGCAGTGGGCAAAAGTCAGTGGATGGTGTGCAGCCCGCCAGGCACAAAGAAGGGCAGAGACTGACGCTGCTGAGGAAATCTGGTGTGGGGAGCTTATAGTGACAATGACAGGATATGTGTGTTTACCTTTTGTAGTATTTTGGAGGTTTTCGTGTATGTGATTTATTTTGATCCTTCGCAAGAATTCTGTAACATAGGTAGGGCATGTTTTTTTACCAAACCCGTTTTCTAGGAAATTCTTGCTTGGGGAGGGAGAACACAATGAAGCAGGGATTGAAAAACCTGTCCTAACTCTTATTTGTATTTTGCTTTTCCACTATCACAATTCATATTTCTTTTAAAATGTAAATGAAAGAAAAAACATGGTTCAGTGTATAGCAATATTTTGTGCTATGTGGCATCTTTTAAGAACATTTGAGTGTATTTACATCATTTCCTCAGGGAAAGCTTTGTTTTACCTAGAGAAGCAGGAAATGGATTTGAAATGGGAAAAGTTTTTCACTTTTATGGATTAAACCCATCTGTTATGTTCACTAAACCTCGATCATGGAAGAGAATAGATTTCTCAGAACATAAAGAGAGCAGAGAAGAGTAAAAAGTTCTTCTTTCCTTCCCTGTTTCCAATCTACACATATCCAGGGAGCCCTGTACAGCCCATTGGTCAGAAAGAAACACGCCCCAACACACTGAACAGTCTTCCACAGACTTGAAGTTAACACTTATTGCTTAAAAGAACTCTGAGGGATACTTTTTTCCCACTGCTTTCAGCATCTTTTAGAAATATGTTTAGATATTTTGCTAAGTTATCTACTATACCTGCATAACACAAAGTAAAGGGAAATTATCCTTCATTCATTTATTCAGAATAATGCTTACTGAGTAGGTATTACATGCCAATGTTGGGCACTAGAACTCTGGGGTTGAACCCAGTAGACATGCCCCTTGCTATAATGGAATTCACTAAGTGGGGGAGATGGGTGTTAATCAAATGATCTCATCAATAAATATTTACTGATCTTGACTGCAGAAGTCCTTTTATACAGAGAGCAAGACTAGTAGCTGGTTAGGTGATTGGGAAATGCAGACAGAAGGAGCATGTGTGTATATATGTATACACGAACAGAACAGTTTTATTTTTTACTTAAAATGTGTAGACAAATGTTTATCTGCCGAATTTGGTAGGGCCAGGTGCTTTCTTTGAGGATCAGTCTGACAACTGAAGGTTAGCATCATCTTTCTTGCATAAAGCCCACTCAAAATGTATATCATCTATAATTTCCAGCTTCAAACACATTAAAGTAGAGGGAGAACTTAAAGACACTTGTGAAGTAATTTGAATTCATTTAGAACTTATTATTTTCCCCCAATCTTTTATACTTATCTTGCCTACAATTTAAGAGCAATTTTCCCCCAGTTTTTTCAAGTCTTTTCATAGCAATAGCATGGAACTTAAGTTTTCATAGAAACAGTGACTCTCTTTTTTATGCTCACATTTGATCAGCTTATGTGATATTTAATTAAACTATGTAATTATAGTAATCAAGTTCAACTGCCATAAACAAGTTAGGGAACAAATACAACCCTCTCTTCTAAGGCTAGAGCACTACTAGGCGGGGGAGAAGTGATGAGGGTATTACGCAGCAGAAGTCACAAGCATTTATCATACTCTGGCAATCAGTCAATACGTTTTCCAGATGGATTTGAAAACATCAGATAATTTCCCAGAGGAGCTCAATTAAAAGTGTTTCTATTATGATTAAAAACTAATAAACATCAGTAAGGAAAAGCAGTGGGTGCCATAGAAGTCTGTAACTGGGGGATGTGACTCAGTCTCCGGGCGTCGGGAAAGGCCTTGCAGACAACTTGACAGTTGAGTGAGGTCAGAAAATGATTAGGTGGTTGCTCAGAAAGGGGCTGGGGCAGGGGTCCAGAGAAAAAGAGTTCCGGGCAGCGGGAGTACAGAGCCAATGCTGAGGGGGCGGAGGGAGCACATATTGAAAAGGAGGAAGTGAAAGAAGCCAGTATTATCAGAGCCAAGAGCGGAGGCTGGGGAGCCGCTCTGGGGTGAGGTGCAGGGAGGAAGAGGCTAGGTCACAGCAGCATCACAAGCTCCGAAAAGCAGGAAGACCTTCCTCCCTTTTGACAATGGAAAGCTGTCAATGGTTATGAAGCAAAAGTCTGCTTCTGTGATCAAGAGCAACCGCCAGTTTGTGGAGTTTTGACCTCCAAATCTAATTAGGGGACTTTGGATTATTTGTTTTTACAATCTAAATACACTACAGATAGTGGAGGGAAAAAAAAAATATTTTCTTAATCTCTGGCACCAGACTATCTCTTAGGGATAAAACTGTCCCTGAATAGGAAAATACACTCATCAACTGCTGGTGGCTCAGATAGTAAAGACTCTGCCTGCAATGCAGGAGATCTGTGTTCAATCTCTGGGTAGGGAAGATCCCCTGGAGAAGGGAATGGCTACCCACTTCAGTGCTCTTGCCTAGAGAATCTGGTGGACAGAGGAACCTACAGGGCTACAGTCCATGGGGTTACAAAGAGCTGGACACGACTGGGTGACTAACACTTTCACTTTTCACAACTACTAGTGGGTCAAAATTGAGGATATAAGGGTAGGTGTCAAGATCATACGAGATGTTATATATCTCTGCTGAGAAAGTGGGAGGAAGGGAAAAAGAAGGAAGAATTAGGTATTGTATTAGTTTCTTAGGGCCATCATAACAGAATGGGGCTTAAAGTATCACACATTTATCCTCTCACAGTTTGGGAGACTAGAAATCCGATATCAAGGTGTCAGCAGCGTCACGCTTTTGCTAAGAGGCTCTTGGTTGAATCCTTCCTTGCCTCTTCCTAGCTTCTTAGGAGGCTAGTGGTGCCTGGCCATCCTGGGGATTTCTTGGTCTGCAACTGTATCACTCCAGTCCCTGGTTTCGTGGTCACATGGCATTTTCTGTGCCTCTTCTCCTCTTCTTATAAGGACATTAGTCATATTGGATTAGGGCCCACCCTCATGACTTCTTCTTAACTTGACTACATCTGCAGAGATGCTATTTCTAAATAAGGTCACATACCCAGATACTAGGGGTTAGGACCTGAATGTATCTTTGAGGGGACATAATTCATCCCATAATAGATGTGATGGGAGAGAGGTGCGAAGGCTTAGTAAAATGGTGGGAGGTCATATGGCTAAGGGGCCACAGCTACTGAGAAACTGATGGTGCAAGGATGGTGGAAGGGACTCACTCAGGGTTTTCAAGTGCTTTTCTTACAGTTTAAGATGCAGCAGCCTGCAAAACATCTCCCCCATTGTATCCGAAGGCTCCCACCTTTCCGGGGGAAGTTCTGGTACCTGTGTTTGCTGATGCTTTGGTGGTAGAGGGGAGGGAACACATGACAAGTGGAGTCATGGAGAAGGATTTGGGTTCCAGGTTTGGGTCAAGGGTGTAAACACAGGAAATGAAATAAAGTGAAAGTGTTAGTCGCTCAGTGGTATCCAACTCTTTGCGACCCCATGGAGTGTAGCCCACCAGGCTCCCCTGTTCATGTGTTTCTGCTGGCAAGAATACTGGAGTAGGTTGCTATTCCTTTCTCCAGGGGATCTTTCCAACCCAGGTATCAAACCTGGGTCTCCTGCATCGCAGGCGGGTTTTTTTTTTACTGTCTGAGCCACCGCATAGGAAACCTCAGAACAATTCAATAGAGTCTGAAAAGCTGAAAAAAAAAGTACTTCTGTGGCTATAACTCCTCCCCACTCCCACCCCCAAATACTCAGAGAACTATTAGACTTCCACAGTCTCCAGTATGAGGGTTTCGGTCAACTTTATCTCTATCTTCGTGAGCTAGCACCAGGATTTCAAATACAATTATGAAAACTCATGTTTCGCTTTGTACCGTCAGCCTTTTCAAGGTATATGCATGACTTTAGCTAAATTAGGAATGTTTGTGAGTTACTTTTTAAAAAAAGATAAAAAACCCTGTCTTCTGTATCTCTTGCCCTAGCATTTTCTAAATATAAAAACTCCACATGGATTGTCACTTTGATTCTAGAATGTTCTCTGAAGTTCAGTTCTCATTTCTTGTCCGATTCCCTTCTTCCTTCCTAGAATACCTTTCAGTTGCAGTTTTCTGTTGGTGGCTGAGGTGCAGAAGTCTCTTACCCGCCTTTCACTCAAGTTGGCGGCCAGGTCTTAAAATGAGGGAAAGGATTTCCTGTAGTGAGTCCAGATGTTTGTACTAGCATTATTGCTCTTAGCCATCAAGTCTAAGTGTAGCACAAAATTAAATCCGTCCTTGAGGCCTGGAAGGGAAGGCAAGCTTGATAATAGTTTAATGTCCTCTGAGTGAAACAGCGGAAATGGGGGAAGAACCACCATCTCCATGAACTATGATCCCACAAGACAGCATTGCTGTTTATTTCTGTGCTTCATTTACGCTGGTATTTAACATAAACGTGGTTTTAGAATACATAAAAGCCCCTTTAAAACCTAAGTAGCTGGCAAAAGAATAATTCATAAAGCAGGGTTCCTGCACCATCCCCCCCACCCCACCCCACCATAAGAAGCTTGAAGAAAATGGGAAATTTTGCAGTCGGCCAAGGCATTATTTGTGGCTAATCCATCATGCCTCTGTGCAGGCTTTCATGCACTATTGTAGGTATTTCATGAGTGCTGAGGCTGCTCAGGCAAAATAAAGCAAAAAGCAGAGCAATTATCCAGAGATTATGAACACCATATGAAGTTATGGTTGGATATTTAGGCAACAGATCTCTAGGGTCTTCTCTTACTTTGTGAATCCTGCATAAGTTGTTTGTTGGCTGGTGTAGCTGGATAATACTCTTCTTTCCCTGATATCTCAGTTGGTAAAGAATCTGCCTTCAATGCAGAAGACCCTGGGTTCGATCCCTGGATTGGGAAGATCCCCTGGAGAAGGGAAAGGCTACCCACTCCAGTATTCTGGCCTGGAGAATCCCATGGACTGTATAGTCCATGGGGTCACAAAGAGTTGGACACGACTGAGTGACTTTCACTTTCACTTACCCTTGAAGGAATTGGCTTACCCATCCTTTTCCTCACATTATGCCTTGAAATCGTTGTCTTCTGGACACTAAGGGAAGATGAACCCTCTTGGTGAACCTGATAGTCATCCCCTTTAGCCTTTGAGAACCAGCCTGTCTCCCCCTGAGTCCAGCTGTGTCTGCATGACTCCTGTCTGCAGAGGAAAGATGTCCCCCTCAGAGGACGTGCCCTCCACATTAGGGCCAGGAGTTCTGAGACCTCCCAGAGAATGCCAGAGGAGCGGCCTCTGTGGCTGGACCCAAGGCCAAGGCCGTGTGCTGGGCTCTTAGTTCTGGATAGTGTTCTTTTCTTTAATTCCTCTGTAAGGTTCTGTTTCCATAGTTCCTGCTCTGCCCTTCTTAATTCTCACAGCAACCCTTTCATGACAATTATTCAGCAGGTATAAGAAATGCCAGTCTTCTGAGACATCCATGTTTTGGCCACATTGTAAGCCCCAGACCATCTTCTCGTAACTATACAAACTCTCAGTGGCTAATTCATGTTAAAAAGATTAAAGCAGAGAAAAAAAAAAAATCTCACCTTGAACAAGCTCATTGGTGCTAGTTACCTTGCAGGCATAAAGTATTCTTAAGTTTTAAACATTTCATTTTTTTTTTTTTAATAACAGCAAGTCAAGTTGGCCAGGATCCAGAAATCTCTTGAAATAGTGATACATTTTAAAAGATTCTTTCTAAAATCAAGAGTGTTAGCTACTTTCTGGGGCAAAGGAGGAAGACTGAAGAATACATTATTTGGGCAGATACAAATGTTAGAAAGTGAGGATCAGTTATTCCCATTAGTCAAAGAGACAAGAGAGGTATAATTGGCATAAGCTTGGTGGAAAAAAAGATATTTAATAGAAGAAAAAAACTCATTATAAGTACAAGGAAATTTTGGCATTGCCCTCTTGTACTGATGGTGACAATTCAATTATAGTATAGTCACATGTCTTATTTTGTAACTGTTAATTGGTTAAAGCGTAGATCATCTTTATGATATTTCTTTCTTCCTATGTGTGCACACGTGTGTGTGTGTGTGTGTGTGTGTGTGCCAGTGAATAAACAGAAACACAGCAGGGACCTAAATTACTAGCTCCATTCATCTGGGGAAAGTTCATAACTCGAGTTACTCTTTGCTTCCACTACCATGAATGAAGTAGATGGTTGCTTGTGAAGACATCTACTTACGGATTTTTGCCCCCCAGTGTCTAATTCTAGGGTTATCTGTGACTTCTTGGTTTAGCACTGGTCTCCTGTATTATCATCATTGACTGTCACACAAGTGTAGATAATGAGGTAGAACCTAAGTAAGTAGAATGGTCAGTTCATGTTGCACTGCATTTTTCTCTGCTCATCACCTATTTGAAAAGCTTATCTGATTGTATATTCTCTCATAGCTTGCTTGAATTTCTTTCCTCTTGGACAGGAAAGATAGGAAGAGAGAGAGAGAGAGGCATTTGAAGTTTATTGCCACCTCATATCACCTATACTTTTGCAGGTGAGTTGCATGCCACTGTCTGCGTGCTATAACTCAGTAACTCAGTGGTAGCCTGGCCTTCAGTAGCTCTTCCTCTCTGAGCAGGGGCAGAGGAGGCCATTATTGCAAGGAACTAACATGTGGCTATCCAAATTGCATGAAATACATCTATTGTGAATAGATGAATTACATATTCATGGAAACTTCTGAATGGAAGATCCACCATTTGCCAGACACTCACCTTGGCTGATTATGTGCTGTGCTTAGTCGCTCAGTCATATCTGACTCTTATCGACCCCACAGGTTGTAGCCCACTAGGCTCCTCTGTCCATGGAATTCTCCAGGCAGGAATACTGGAGGGGATTGGCCTGCCCTCCTCCAGGGGATCTTCCCAGCTGAGGGACTGAGCCCAGGTCTTTCGCATTGCAGGTGAATTCTTTAGCATCTGGGCCACCAAGGGCTGAGTACAAGGCCCGGCAAACTGCAGAGCTCTGGCTCGCTCATTTCTTTATGTCTGTGTCACAAGTGCAGGTTTCTAGGACATGCTTTGAGTCAAATGGTGAGCGCAATGGAGGCATATTAGCCTCCACCACCCCTGACTTCCAACAATGGCCCAGTTGGAGCCAACAGCTGTCATCCCTGGAGAGCTGCTAGTGCGTCCTATTCTTGGAGACAACGTTGCATTGGCAGCCTCTTATTTCCAAGCTTCCTGAGTTTGGCAGAGAGGGCACTCCCCTTAAAAGGGGTGGGGAGACTTCTGTAGTGTTGTTTTAGAGCTCTTTTCTCCGGGCCCAGCATAGAGATGGCTCCTTCTGACTGTTCATTGATTTTGTTAGCATCCTGTTCCTTGTATTAAATTTCTTCCTACTTACACTCGCTAGAGTGGTTTCTCTGATCTGCAGTGGAGTCCTAACTCATCCGCTGCTCAAAGATCACCTGGGAGCCCAGTGCATGCCGAGTCAGTCCATATTCTGTCACATCATGTTGCATTTAAGTCATTCACTCTCTCCATCTCTCCCACTCCTTCCCACCACCCCTGGGACCTCAGGCTGTGAGGTTATTCATCTTTTAATTCTGCTCTATCTGTGAGAAAACTTGGCACATAAAATTCACTTAAGAGATGTTTGTTTGAATAAATGGATAAATGACTAAATGCACAGGACCAAATATCCCGTGACGCCAAATTCATGGGAGAATGAAAAACTTGTTAAAAATGCAATTTCGTTTCATACATATGCCTTGAGTGTATTTTATTTAATAAAAGATAGAAAGGCACACACTTTTAGCTTGATATTAATCATTACCTTTTACTTAAACAGTCAAATGGGATTTGCTGCTCAGCAGTTAAATATGTCACTGTCCCCGGAAGACTAGCAACGTGCACTGATGAATGTGAGCCCTGCCTCTTGGCTCCTGCCTCCCACCATTTCATCTCTTCCTGGGTAAATTCTGAACAGGTGCTACTAGATGCCTCATTAACTGCACAGAGGTATGGAAATCATAGGTGAGATAATCTCTCACCAGAATCTAAGCCCTGCATTCTTTAAACACTGCACTGGACTTAAGCATTGATTCTGTCTGTGTTGCCATTGGTGACGACACTAGCTTACAGTGCCAGGAGCTTGAACTAATGTTACATCTTATCTTCCCTCTAATCCTGCCTTTCTGTAATTATTCAGTCTGCTCTACATCATTTATCTATCTGTTTCATTTCTCCATCAATATGTATTAAATTCCTACAGGTTGCATTGTAATAATAATAATATAGTATAATTTT